TTCGGTTTCCCGCGGAGAAGCGCAGCCCCTGGACCGCCTCCCCGCCTGCGCCTTCCGCAGCCTTGACCGAGGCCTGGCAGGTCCAGTGTTAGTTCCTAACTGCCCTCACTGGGCGCCTCTCTGCAGAGAGAGTGACATTCTCAAAATGAAAATCTGGGCATGTCACCACCCTCCTGCCTAAAACCCCTGATGGCTTCCCCACTGCGGGGTAAACCCTTCAGACAGTATCCTCCGGGCTCTGAGCATCCGACCCGTCTCTCCCGCGTCAGCCTTTGAGCTCCATCTCTGCAATCTGCCGTGCGGCTGCTGCACACACTGTTCCTTCTGCTGAACATCCCCTTCCCCCTCTCATATTTTAGACCTCTTCTCAGATCAGCCTTCTCTGATACTGTCCCTGAGCACTTTGTTCCTTTTCTTCACAGCAGCTATCACCGTTGGAAATTATGTATTCATTTTGTGCTTATTTAATGAAAGGTACGGTTTTAAGAGCAGAAAGAAAACCTGCTCTGGGGCAGGCATGGGGCTGCTGCCCGGCCGGGTGCCAGTGCAGTGAGCTCTCCTGTTTCTATTTACTGAAGCCTGACCCCCTCACTCCCTTCCTCCTTGGGGGAAACGGGTAGGGTTTGGTGGTTCAGTTTGCAATCAGAGAGAACAGAGGAATTTCTGGCTTCAATCGTAAAATCAAAAAGCACTGGCTGGTGTGAAGTAAGTTAAGGCTTCTTAAAATAAGTTCCCCAGAAAGAAGACTGGGACAAATTTAGCCTTCAGGGCACATGAGCTTCCAGGGGGGGGTCCCTTCCACACCCCCATTTTATTGAACAAGCTATGCAATTGGTTACACCTTCCTCATGTACCCCCAACCCTGTTCACCCCATTTCAAAACTAAACTAATAGGGATTCATTGTTGAATAATACAGTTAAAATATCTTGTCCCATCTCTCTCTCTCCTAATTTTTTGGGAGGTAACCAAAATTCTTAGTGGCCCTGTTTCGACAAGGCTATTAAAAATATAACGAATAAATAAATAAGTAAAATACCTTGTCTTGCCTGGCCTGAGTGGCTCAATGGTTGAGTGTCGACCTATGAACCAGGAGGTCACGGTTTGATTACCTGTCAGAGCACCTGCCCAGGTTGCCGGCTCCATCCCCAGTGTGGGGCATGCAGGAGGCAGCCAATCAATGATTCTCTCTCATCATTGATGTTTCTATCTCTCACTCCCTCTCCCTTCCTCTCTGAAATCAATAAAAATATAATTTAACAAATAAATAAAATACCTTGTCTTTCCTTCATCCCTTTCTATTGCTTTTTTTTTTATGAGAAAGAATTCAACTCTGTGATCTCTGCTGGGACATCCTCTTCCAGTTTCAACTTGATTCCAACTCACCATTCTGCTACCTCAAGATTAAATGCAAATTAAATCACTCCAACCAATCCTATATACAAAAATAAGGGAGATGGAAGAGGGAAGAAAAACCATTTTAGATTATGACATTTCCTATTTTTTAGAGGAAAAAGGAAATAAAAAGGAGAAGGCAAAAGTAACTCAAACTTTGGATACTCCCCCAGCTTAGAATATGCAGGTGGAGACTTCAGGTCTGAACTGAGTTTCCCTTTTCCTTTACCCACTGCAAGTTCCCCTTGCCTTCAGCCACAGAGTTTTCTTCCTTGTGAGGTGACCCAAATCTTCACTCCTAAAGGCTCTGGGTTTCGATGGTCGGGATCATGCAGCTCTCCCCATGCCATACAGCCATAGTCATCTGATTGTTTGGTGGGCCCAGAACAGCTCCTCCCCACTTCTCCTTCAGCTCTGTCTCTCCCAGCCCTAACCACTGGGTTAAACAGCAGCCTGATAGGACTGCCCCCTCCAGGTGAGTCAGTCAGTCTTCCTCTGGGACTTGCTGACATAAAATGAAAGGGAGACAAAGCAGGGAAGATGTGAGCCTAGGGCTGCAGCAATCACATTTCCTGGCAAGTAGAAGTCAGAGTGTAATAGGAGAAAATGATGCTGACACACAGAAGCAGAGACAAAAGACTGTCCTGGCGATGATCCAGCCCGTTTCCTGAGGCCTTTGTATACCTTCCAATAAGGCCCTTATTTCGCCAAGCCTAACTTGAGTGGGATTTCTTTCACTCGCAATCAAAAGAACCATGATTACTAGAACATCTCTGGGTCCCACTCATGCACCTCTCAGTCCTCATTAAATAGTAGCAACTCTATTTCCCCTGGTGGCCATCATCAGTCCAACCTACATGGTGACCTCCTTTCTTCTATTTCTCTAGTAT